GCATTGCAACCCGGGAGGCTTGTCTGTCTACTATCGCATTTCCATGAGCCTCATTCTTTGCTACCATCAGGGTTTAGCCATTAATGCTCAAGCGGTAGGGGGTGGGGGGGGGGGGGGGGCAGCCTATTTGAGTTTCGGTTTGGGTCGTGAGGACTTAGAACCCAGCCAGGCTGTCCCGTCTACCGTAGAAACAATCGTAGAGATTCACACTTCACCCTATCCCCCTGAAGCATCGGCACGCGTGCGCTCATCCCTCATTACATGTCCAATCACATTAACTGCCCAACACATACTGTAGTTTCAATTTTTGACTCACCTCCAGAACATACTGTACAAACTGCCCGGAAACTGGGGTGGATCTTCTGAGTGTAGCTAGTCGGGTGCTTCGGGGGGCGAGCGGTCTAGCCAGCTCGGAAGCAACAACCAGTTTGACGTAGGGGCCTTAATAATTAGAATAGGGCATTGGGGCCCAGTATACCATAGTTGTAATATGGAACCCCCAAAATAGTATAGGTAGTAAGGCCCCTACAGTAGCCTACATTCCGGAGCATCTTCACCTCAGAAGACCAATGCATGCGACCCTCCCGCCAGAGTTTTGCGGTGCCAACATGCGTGCAAGCTGCGACTTTCCTTGGCGCACGGGCATGAAATTCCGATGTTCTTACCTAGACCCCACAGCCTCAGCAAAAGTGATTGCAGGCTCAGCCTAAAGATAGTTGCAAGCACGGCTTTCAGTACATGGTTGCGACTAATGCATACTGTCCAACTATACAACTAACTTACATGTAAAACGTCATAACGCAACAAAACCCGTACAACACGATAAAGCCCATGAACACCGGACCAGAACACCACCACGCCATGTAAACATCGATGGTAGAAAGACCGAGCCTCGGACTAGTAGCTCTTGGCCTCTAGACGACTTTCCGAATGGGGTCTGTAAGGGTTTAGGGGCGTAATTAGAATAGGGTTCCTCTAAAGGGTTCTATAAGGGACCCATAAGGGTACTATATGATATAGGGGGCTTGAATAATTAGTTTTACTGGAACGAAACGTAAAAGCAAGGTTCAGCAGGACCGGGGCTAGGAAAGCGACAATAGCGACAACACATATGTATGCTACTTTTGCTATATTGGGCGACGGTCATAATCATCAACATGATGGCATTGTAAACATCATACTCGTGACGTTTACGATATTCGTAAGACCAACAAGTAGTAGTAGTAGTAGTAGTAGTAGTAGTAGTAGTAGTAGTAGTAGTAGTAGTAGTAGTAGTAGTAGTAGTAGTAGTAGTAGTAGTAGTAGTAGTAGTAGTAATAGTGGTAGTAGTAGTAGTAGTAGTAGTCGCCGTCGTCGTCGTAGTAGCAGTAGTACTAGTAGTAGTACTAGTACTCGTCGTCGTCGTAGTGGTTGCTCGAAGTAGTAGTAGTAGTAGTAGTAGTAGTAGTAGTAGTTGTAGTAGTAGTAGTAGTAGTAGTAGGAGTAGTAGTACTAATCGTAGTCGTAGTCGTAGTCGTAGTAGTAGTAGTAGTAGGAGTAGCAGTAGTAGTCGTAGTCGTAGTCGTAGTCGTAGTCGTAGTCGTAGTAGTAGTAGTAGTAGTAGTAGTAGTAGTAGTAGTAGTAGTAGTAGTAGTAGTAGTAGTAGTAGTAGTAGTAGTAGAAGTCGTCGTCGTAGTCGTAGTAGTAGCAGTCGTCGTCGTGGTGGTGGTGATAGTAGTAGTACTTTGTAGTAGGTAGTTCGTAGTACGTATTAATACGTTTTACGTAGTAGTACTGTAGCTGTTGCTGTTGTCGTTGCTGCTGTTGTTGCTGCTGCTGTTGCTGCTGTTTGTAGCTACGCTTGTACCTGCAGGTGATTGTCATGCCACATGCCGATGCTTCAGATTTCAGCTTCACGGGCAGAGACTATGTAAAGACTTTGCAGCTCTTTAGGATTCTCCAAACCCGCCACGTGCCATAACCCCGAATGCTGTGTGAGCTTCCGGTGGTACAGCCCCAGCACGGTGGCGTCCACTTCCAAGTGAAGGGCGGCTGCCACTTGCACCTTGTGTAACCCTAAGGGTCCATGTACTCTTATAGTATATGCATTGGCTTAATGTGGTCCCTATATAGGTACTTGGACCCTCAGGGTAAGGAGAACCGATGAACCCTGAAGGCAGGGTTGAAGTGTTCGCGCGTGCCGGCGTGAGGCTTCCGATTTACACGACTTGCACTGAACACAGCGACTTATGGTCCTTGACACGCAGCGGTTTAGGGTTAGGGTTTGGGGTTTAGGGTACGTACAATGTGTCAGAGTGAAAGCCGCAGCCTGAGAGTACGCAATGTCATGGGATGTTGTTTGTTACCTTGGATCTGTTTAAGCCTTAGCCGTTAAAGACGACGACACATGATCTCCTATGAGATTCTGTAGGGGACTATCGGGAACTTGTTGTTACCGTGCATATAGGATATATCACCCATCATGGCCCATGTGCTGATACAGCCCGAGACGTATCCGGTGATTTCTAGCTTCCTCTCCTCTCAAGAAACAGCCCCCCCCCCCTTGACGTTGCTAGCTGCAGGCATAAGGCCTTAAAACCACGAACAACTAAATCTTCAGCAGTAACCTTTACACCCTAAACCCTGCAGCTGACATCCGAAACACCAAACCTTAATCTTGCCCTGAGCTCTGCGCCCGAGGCGTAGACTTACACCCTATCACTATGCTCTTGGACCAGTAATTACATGAGCCCTTAAAGATCAAAGTCACAAAGAACACTCAGTGGGAGCTGCTGTAGAGCCCAAAAATTCTGCAACTCTACTTGGAGGATCATGGGACTTAGTAAGTAGGGTTAGAAGTAGCTTAATCGGGGTTAAAAGTAGATATAACTACAGTTACCTTACATATAACCCTACTTACTAAGTCCCATGGTCCTCTAAGTACATGCCCTCAAAACTCAAAACTGTTCGGCTTCCTGGGCACCAACTTGCGCAGCGATGGTGAGGGTGGTACCTTCAGAAGCTTAATCTAATTATATTGGCCGGCCAGGGTGCTGTTGATTGATTCTGGGACAGCTATCGTTGGGGTTTAGGGTTGGGGGGTACATATAAGGATGCAAAGATGTGTATATGCATATGCATGCCTACACGTATGCAGATCTTTCATATGTATGCGCACTACAAGTCGGTTAGTGACTGTCTTTGTACCAAATCACATGTGTCGCCTGTACGTGTACGCAAGACATAACATACAATAGTGCATTGTGTCCGCCCTCTCTGCGCATGCAGCTATGAACTACTTTGGTGTTGCCCTGGGAAGAGAACTAGGGTGCCCTGATATAGGTAATTATGGTGATATACGTATGGTTTTAAAACTAGTATATTTGCTTATGATTGGTCGTGCAACGGTCACTGTTTTGGCTTGGGCTTGGCTCTCACAGTCATCTGGATGGGTTGAGTAGACTCTGAACGACTGCAACATCACAGGGCCGAAGGTCACTACAATCGCTTGTGCGGCCAAATACCAATGCATACGCTGCCCCAGCGAACTTGTGCGTGCAAGCCAACAACAAGGGTTGATGACGAACGTTTACGGTGGCAGGTGCCCAAATTTGCAAACGGCCCCGCCTTCCATAGTAGTACTTGCCATAGTACTTGCCGTAGTACTTGCCGTAGTACTTGCCATAGTAAGGCTTTTTCGGAGTGGTTGTCGTGGGTCCTGCTCCTGTCGTCGTGGTTGGTGCCGCTGCAGTCGTGGTGGTAGGTGTTGGGGTCGTGGTTGTAGGTGCTGGTGTCGTGGTCGTCGGCGCTGGTGACGTTGTCGTAGGAGTTGGAGTCGTGGTTGTTGGTGTCGGAGTGGTGGTCGTCGGCGCTGGAGTCGTGGTTGTTGCAGTTGGAGTCGTGGTCGTAGGAGTTGGAGTCGTGGTCGTTGGGGCAGGAGTTGTGGTCGTCGGTGCTGCAGTCGTGGTTGTAGGTGTTGGAGTTGTGGTTGTTGGCGCCGGAGTTGTGGTGACGTCAGGAAGTGTCGTCTGTGTCGATGTTGATGTGGTGGTGGAGGTAGTTTCCTCAGGAGTCGTTGTTGTGGTTGGCGCAGGAGTTGTTGTCGTCGGTGCTGGAGTCGTTGTTGTAGGGGTTGGAGTCGTGGTTGTGGGAGTTGGAGTCGTAGTTGTTGGTGCTGGAGTTGTGGTCGTCGGCGCTGGAGTCGTGGTGGTAGGAGTTGGAGTCGTGGTTGTGGGAGTTGGAGTCGTCGTTGTTGGTGCTGGAGTTGTGGTCGTCGGTGCTGGTGTCGTGGTTGTAGGCGTTGGAGTCGTGGTTACGTCAGGAAGCGTCGTTTGTGTCGACGTAGATGTGGTGGTGGAGGTAGTTTCCTCGGGAGTCGTTGTTGTCGTAGTTGGTGCTAAAGTTGTAGTTGTGGTAGGGGCCGGTGTAGTTGTTGTAGTCGGTGCCGGTGCCGTCGTGGTAGTCGTTGTCGTCGGTGCTAGAGTCGTTGTCGTAGTTGTAGTAGGGGCCAGTGTAGTTGTTGTAGTCGGTGCCAGTGTCGTTGTGGTAGTCGTTGTCGTCGTAGGGGCCAACGTTGTTGTAGTCGTCGGTGCCAGCGTCGTCGTTGTCGTCGTGGGCGCAGGAGTCGTGGTCGTAGTCGTGGATGTTGTTGGAGGTTTGGGTGTGCAGCATGCGGTGCAGTTCGTGTACTGCTCCAACCGCTGTCCGGTTGCAACCGGAATCTCACAGCAAAGCCGGTCCACGCAGCTTGGCACATTGCCAGCCCTTAGGTTGGCGTTGCTGCAAACATCACAGAGCACGAGACTTTCAGCGAGCCTTTTCGCTGAGAAAGTGCAGTGCAAGTGGGAACAACAGGTAAGATGGCTCAATGATCACCCTCTTCCCGTTCTAACATCACAGCATGCGGCGCCTCGGACTTCCTTCTAGCTATCACTGTCTTCATCACCAACATGAACATGAACACCACCATCCTCAACACCCGGAGCACATAGCCACGGCAGGGAAACTAAAAGGTCAGCACCCTAATTCCAATGGCAACCGGGTCTCCATCTGCTGTTGCAATTGTTGGAGGCGTCGTCTCTTTCTGTGCAGCCATCGCCTTTCCAGGTAGTGGCTGACACCTGGTCCGTCGCTGTAAAGAAACCTGGGCCACATTTTTCTCTCTGAGCTTCAAGCGTATTGCTCAACCATGAAACGTATTGGCATACAAAAGCCCTCGGGCTCCAGCTACCTAAATAGTAGGCCAGTGGGTTAGATAAGATGTGGCTAGTGACTATCCTGGCGAAGATGCTCAACAGCAGCAACCCTAAACCAAAAAAAAACCCTAAACCCTAAACCCTGTAAACCTTCTAGAGTAGCCGGGAAACAAAGCGCCTGGTTGGAGCCGCTGCCTGGACTTTGAAGTAACCAGGGAGAAAAAGTATAGACTTGTATTTAAGAATGGTTCCTTTAAGGAACAGGTACCCCCCAAAAAAGTATTCAAGTATGGTACTCCAAACCCAGGGATTGTATGGCATAATGTAGGGTCCTTCATATTTAGAATAGGGTTTTGGCGGCTCCTTACTATAAATATAGTATTATAATGTACCCCCTAAACCCTAAACCGTAAAGGCCTCTAAACCCAAGCTGCCTTGCCGATTCACGCGAATTTCGCCTTCCCCGGATCCTTTCGTCAGGTTAAACTCGATGCAGGCACCTTAGGGGGTAAGGGGGGGGGGGGGGTTGGGGGGCTTTAGGGGCTTTGGGTTTAGGGGTTTTCGAGGTTTTAGGGGTCTGAGGGTTTAGGGGTTTAGTGTTTAGGAGTTCAGGGCTCTGGAGGTTTAGGGGTCTAGGAGTTTAGGGTTTTTGTTGGCTAAGAGTGCCAGGCACCTGCTTCCAAAGTGACTACCATAGCCTCGCAAGCATCGCCTCCTTGTCCGTCGCGGCAGAAGAAGTACACGTTGGCATTCCTAGTTCAGGGTTGGGATATGTAGTTCATGGTTGGGATAGTATCAAAAGTTATCATTCTTATTCCTGCCTGGGTTTTAAGTTTAAGTACCCATGAACATGTCAAAGGTTACCCAACCATGACAAAGATTCTCTGGGAAAAACCACCGGGCATCCTTGCATGAAGTTTGGCCCAAGCATTGGACACAGTGTGTGCCATCGCCCTCTGAGAAAAAGAATTTTGTATTACTGTTCGCACAGGTGCCGCCGTGGTTGTCACCAGGAAACTCCGTCGGGGCGTCGGCATCGCAGACCACATCTCCGCTCAAGTAGGTCACCCACTGGTAGCATGTCTGGTATCCTGACATTCCGAACTAGAAGCCAAACAGATTAGATGTGTGTATCCTTATGCTGCAGACAGAAACGAGAATCCGAGCACACCTATGAACTGTATATGCATCCAAACCCTAGTTATAGCCTTACACCCCAGACCGCTCCAGTGCACGTCCAAGACGAAGCCCAAGTGTCCTTTGCAAGAAATCGATGAAACGTTTCGGGCTTCGCCGCTGTAGCACGTCTGGTAGCCCATGCAACAAACGTCACCAGAGCACACAGTATCTGCAGCCTCCAGACAAGAAGCACTAGTCACTGGTAGGATTGAGAGGCCTTTGTGTTGAGGTAGCATCACCACGTGGTCAGTGGGGCTAGGTCACATGGTGATACTTGGAGGTTCAGGGGTAGTTTGCACTATACGTGGGGTTATAAGTCCCCAAACATGGGTTATAAGTATAGTTAGCCTACTTATAACCCTACTTATAACTACCCACGGACCTCCAAGCAGGGTGAAACCCTCAACCCCTAAACCCTTAACCCCTTAAAGCCCTTAAAACCCTTAAACCGTAAATCCTGAAGCCCTTAAACCGATCTAGAAAGTAGATCCCCTAAGTTGGGGCCCTATTTTACTAAGGGTACTTTACAGGAACCCCCATTAAGGTCTTTACTTTTCGGATCCTCCTGGGGGCTAGCTCGAAGTATAGGATCTCCCCGGCAACTTTCGTTTAGACCCTACACCCTAAACCTTAGGAACTCCTCAAGAGAAACCAACACTGCGGATCTAGAACTCTGAAGTCAAAGGGTCCTATGTATTGTTATGGGGGATACATCCCTAAGTCATAATCGTAATTCCTAAGATGGAAACCCTACATTCTACTATATCGCTACATAGGACCCTTTTGGGGAAGTCAAAGATATCCTATCCCAGAAGACCGAAACGCCGACGTCTAAAACCCAAAACTCTTGAACATGTGGGTGTTGTCGAAATTATGGTTCCTTCTTGGGTCCCATTTGTAGTACGGCACCTATTATTTAGGGCACCCAAAACGGGACCCTAATTTTGACAACCACCCATGTGCCTTTTTCAACTGGTCCAGGACCCAAATCGTAGATACTTTGGCCCCGCAGTATCTATATAGGGACTGCCTTAAGACTAAGGTACATACTAGAAAGGTACCATGGACCCCTGAGGGTTCCTAGTCCTTCCATGTCTGATGATGCAGGAACCTGATTAAGAAACCTTGGGCCTTTGTTGGGGTTCCTTATATGCATCCTACTACTTTGGGGTTATAGGCCCAGGTTTCTTAATCAGGTTCCTACATTAGCAAGGGCAATGGGTTCGGGGTGACCTAGGACAAACTGACCCTTGACCCTGTAGCGTAGGGTTCAGGGTTTAGGGTCTAGGGCTTAGGGAGTTTAGGGTTTAGGGAGTTTAGGGCTAGGGAGTTTCCCATAAAGTTGGAAACCGGATTAAGGCCAAGTAGTGCTGGGATTCCCTATACATTACTCTTAATTAAGGGTTGAGGCTATAGGGTTTCCAACTTTTGGGCTTCTGCTGCAGGGAGTTTAGGGTTGATGGTTTGGGGTTCACATGGCCCGAGGTAGATTGTATATGTCGACCACAAAGTCCACAGTGGGCACTGCGCTCTATGTTCAGAGTCTTTTGAGTCTTTCAAGCAGAAACCAGCAACTTTAAACATCACTTATCCACATCCTCTTCAATCTTAGAGACTTCGTGCAATGATCATTCTACTCAACCCGTGTCTGAAACTGATCATCACTTATCCACATCCTCTTCAATCTTAGAGACTTCGTGCCATGATCATTCTACTCAACCCATGTCTCAAATTGATGTACCCCAAACCACGAACCCATAAACCTTATCCCGTATAGAAACCTCAGAAAATCCTTAAGGGTCCATGTACCTAAGTAGTATATACATTGGCCTTAAAGTACTCCCTATATGGGTACATTGGGCCCAAAGCATATACTGTTTGGCCCTAAACCCTACACCCTAAACCCTTTTCCAGAAGATTACCACTCCGGGGGGCTTCTCTCCTGTCTTGGCCGGCAAGTTCAAAGTCGGCCTGGTCGGCGTTCACAAGCGCTTCTGGCTTCACGTTTCAGCGTCGTAAAGCTCAATGTGTAGCTGACTTCTGCTTGGAGGTTCATGGGTAGTTATAAGTAGGCTTATAAGTCCCCTAATATGGGTTATAAGTATAGTTACCCTACTTATATCCCTATACTTATAGCTTCAAGTGCATGACTGTTGAGGTCTGGCACAGGAGCTTTGCAGTTTGGCATGTTCCTCTCTTTCCTTACGGCACTTCAGGGTGCGCCGGGAGTAGGCTTTACATTTGTATACCGGGTGCGTCGCCTTCCCCGTTAGTACAGTGCAATCACTGTACAGACTGTACAAGAAATGGCGGAGAAGGAACGTAGGGGCCACGTCAGCCGGATAGCACGAAAAGCCCAAAACTTAAGAAATGAAGGGTACCCGACATCGTAGGGTCATTTCGTATTTGGCTGGGTGGTTAGTTTCTGAATTCGGGCGTTCGCAAGCCTCAAAAAACCCTGAAATACGAAATGTAGGGGGCCACGTTTCTGATTTTGGTTCCCAGGTCCTAAGCCTGGCCTAGGGCAGGGCAGCAGCCAAAATGAGAAACGTAGGGGGCTACGCTTCTTATTTTGGGTGGTGTCCAGATCCTAAGCCTAGGGCACAGGGCAGGAGCCAAAACAAGAAACGTAGGGGGCTACGTTTCTCATTTTGCGTGGTTTCCAGGTCCTAAGCCTACAGGGCACAGTGCAGGAGCCAAAAAAGACACGTAGGGGCTACATTTCTTATTTCGGGTGGTTTCCGGGTCCTCTAGTAGCCAGGGAAGGAGTCAAAATGGGAAATGTAGGGGTCTTCTACGTTTCTGATTTTGGCTGGTTTGTGGAGAGTGAGCTGCCGGGACATCTAGAGTCTAAACATGAAGCCGTTAAAGAATACTGTCTTGACAGTGTCTGTCTAGGCTAACGGCAAGGGCATTGGCTTAGTAGCAGAGGGTTTTAAGGATGTTCAGTTGACTGAAACTTCTGCCAAGGTCTATAGCATTCAATACCGTGCTTCTTGCAACGTAACCCATACGTGCCTTCATACTTGGAACATCGTCTGGGATTACAGTATACCTTCTAACTGTAGGGACTAAAAAATGCTATCGCTGGTACACTATGACTATCAGATCCTGCACAGGGAGTCTAAAGGGAACTCCAGAAAGTTGGAATATGGATTAATGGTAGGATCCCCCATAATTTACCTTAAAGGGGTTACGATAATGATATTCCAACTTTCTGGCTTCTACTCGACGTCTTGAGAAGATACCATTATCATCGGATCAGGTCCCCAGATTAGCTAGACAGGGCTTTGCCACAGAACTGGTTATCCATGCTATAGGATGGCGGAACGGCCCAAGGAGGCCGGGTGGGAATTTAGGCTTTAGGGTTTAGGGGGGGTTGCGCAAAGTTAGGTATCCCATCCTACCTCTTCGGATCGATAGTAAGGCCGATGATGGGCTCCGCTTTTGTTCAAGCTCAAACATGAAGGATTCCTGCAATAATCCTCGGAACACTCCTTGAGGGGCTTTGGGTTTAGAGGCTCAAGCATTATAGGGTCTACTTAGCCGCCCTTAGAACCAGAATAAACTCAATGTTCTTATTACTCCCATTAAGTTGTATTGTAAGCAAAAAATATCAGCATAATTCCTAAGAGCAGCAAAGTTTAAAGGTTTAGGAGTTTATAGAATTTTGTAGCGACGAAATTTGGAGTCCCTGAGCTTGCCGCTGAATGGAGCATGGCCGGTGCTAAAAAAAAACGCGTTTTCGCAAGTCAGGGCTCTGGGGCAACGTAAGAACTTCCCTATGCACCTTAAACCCCTACACCCTACTTGGAGGGTCGGGGGGCTTAGTAAGTAGGTAGTAAGTAGACTTATAAGTACCCTAAAAGGGACCCTAATTGGGGTTATGGTACTTACAAGTCCCTAAAATAACCAGTTACTAAGTCCCCCGACCCTCCAAGTAGACTAATGGAAACGCCTGATTGCAGCCCCGCGACCGTTGAATAGCATGTCTGACCATCATCGTCCACGTTCTCGCAGCAAACGGCTCCCATTCCCTCGATTTCCACGCTATTGTAGCCTGCAGCTAACCAGGGATGTTTGGGACAACCTTGCTATCTCATACACCCATTCGACGACAACGACGACGACGACTACGACGACGACTACTACTACTAGGACTAGGACTAGGACTAGGACTAGGACTAGGACTACGACGACGACTACTACTGCTACTACTGCTCTTACTCCTACTCCTACTCCTACTGCTACTGTTACTGCTACTGATACTGCTACTGCTACGGCTAGTGGTGCTGATACCTGCTGCTGCTACTACTACCACTGCTAGTAGCGCTAACGAAACATGAGTACAAATATGACAGGAACAATACGAATAACAAATCAAGAAGACCCACCCAGCCCGAAAGTGCCGAGCAGCAGGCTTGATAGTTGCGGCATGTCATGACATCTCCAGGGTCACGGAAAGTCCATAATGCTGCCGTTCCTCTACACACCTTGGCCCAGAGTCTCTGAATTCTGGAGGTTAGGGCATCGCGCTCGAAACCGCCCCGTCACACAGTCACCACCAATCCGTGGACGAATACGCGCATCGTTAAGAGCCTTCCTTCATGGCCAAAGGATCCCTGGAAGTCCGTGCATCCGAGGTTCTCCGGCCTGTGTAGGCGCAGGAATGACTTTATTTCCAGTCTAGGCGCAGCAGGGGAATGGGAAGAATGAGACAAATCTGTGCTTTGCAATGCTGATGGTGCTTGCGCCGCTGCTGTTGCTGCTGCTATGATACCACTGCCATCACCGAGGCAACAACTCTTGCCGATGCTGGTGCTGCTACTGCTACCTTTGCTTCTACTCCTCCTGCCTGCTGCGGCTGATACAACCACCAGAACAACAACGACAGCAGCAGTAGCAGTAGCAACAACAACAATAGCATAGCATCAACACCAGCACCAGCAACAACTACATGGCCACCACAACCACAACCACCGCCACTCACCCCGACCATCACCGCCACCCACCCCGACCACCACCGCCACCACCACCACCACCACCACCACCACCACCACCACCACCACCACCACCACCACCACCACCACCACCTGCACGACACTCACCACCACCACCACTACCACCACCACCACCGCCACCACCACCACCACCACCGCCCCCACCGCCCCCACCGCCCCCACCGCCCCCACCGCCCCCACCACCCCCACCACCCCCACCACCACCGCGACCGCGACCGCGACCGCGACCGCCGCCACCGCCGCCACCGCCGCCACCGCCGCCACCGCCACCGCCACCACCGCCGCAAACTTTTTTTGGGGCCCCCTCAATTCATACACTGTTTCCTGGGGAAGCAATAGGAGCGAGAAATGTATTTCATAGGGGTTATGGACGTGCCAACAGTTTCAGGCTAAGGACGGAAAAGGCA